AACTCACTGTTCCCACAGTGAAGCGTGGTGGGAGTGCGACTCTTGTGTCTTTGGGACCTTAGGAGGAGGGACAGATGTTTCTCTCCTCCTAGGAAGGAAACGGGGAAACCAAGGGAGACAGGCTCCTGACATAGAGAGCAAGCATGTTCCCGATCTGGAAGTATGGAAGTTCCTGGTTGGAGGGATTTTAGGAAAGGGCAGGACTGGTAATGAGAGTCGTGGGGCCTCAGTGCCGGGGAGGCCCATGCAGCCTTGGCCTCCCGTGTGGTAGCAGAGCAGGAGGAAGGCAGAGGGCGGAGTGCTGTGGGCACTGGGGCTGCTCTGCCTGAACGCGGTGTGAGCAAGGGGGCTCTGCACAGCAGACCAGCTGGAACCGAGGGTCACGGACAAAGCCAGCTGGGCACGAGGAGCAGCTGCACACTGCACAGAAACTGCTAAACTGTCCGAGAAACACATCAAACACAGCACTGCCCCTTTTGTGAATGAAAAACAAAAACCTCAACTTCATCAGCTTCACAGACAATTCATCAAGTCTTGTTATGAATATCCTGAAGGGGTACAAATTATGCCCAATCTTAAATGAAATATATTAAAGCTTGTTCATAAAAGTTATTTATTTGTTTGTATTACTATAAGCTCCTTTTAAAAGCACATTTTAATGATTTGCTTTGCTTATATATTGTGAGCTAAAATGAAATGAATGAATCAAATTCTTACATTTATGCTTGTTATGCCACAAAATGATAAGAGGCATTAGCCAGCGTCCAGCCTATCACTGTGGACGCATGTTAACACTCCAGTACGTGTGATTTATGTCCATTTCATGATCTGAATTAGCTGCCTAATGATGCAGAGCTCCCGTCTTCCCTCCATCCACATCCGGGTGTCATTTAATTTCAGACAGAAACAGAATATAGGCTGCACACCTGCATGCTCTACAGGCTGCACATCTGCATGCTCTACAGGCTACATACCTGCATGCTCTACAGGTTGCACATCTGCATGCTCTACAGGCTGCACATCTGCATGCTCTACAGGCTACATATACCTGCATGCTCTACAGGCTGCACATCTACATGCTCTACAGGCTACATATGTTCATATCTACATGCTCTATGGGCTGCATATCTGCATGCTCTATGGGATGCACACCTGCATGCTCTATGCGCTGCACACCTGCAGGCTCTATGGGCTGCATATCTGCATGTTCTATGGGCTGCACATCTGCATGCTCTACAGGCTACACATCTGCATGCTTTATGGGCTGCACATCTGCATGCTTGTTGGGCTGCATATCTGCATGCTCTACAGGCTGCACACTTGCTGCACATCTACATGCTCTATAGGCTGCACACCTGCACGCTCTATGGGCTGCACACCTGCATGCTCTACAGGCTGCACATCTGCTGCACATCTACATGCTGTACAGGCTGCACACCTGCATGCTCTACAGGCTATATATCTGCATGCTCTATGGGCTGCACATCTGCATGCTCTACAGGCTACACATCTGCATGCTCTATGGGCTGCACATCTGCATGCTCTACAGGCTACACATCTGCATGCTCTACAGGCTGCACACCTGCTGCACATCTACATGCTCTACAGGCTGCACACCTGCATGCTCTTCAGGCTACATACCTGCATGCTCTACAGGCTACATATCTGCATGCTCTACGGGCTGCATATCTGCATGCTCTATGGGCTGCATACCTGCATGCTCTATGGGCTGCACATCTGCATGCTCTACAGGCTACATATCTGCATATCTGCATGCTCATTGGGCTGCATATCTGCATGCTCATTGGGCTGCACGTCTGCATGCTCTACAGGCTGCACACCTGCTGCACACCTACATGCTCTATGGGCTGCACACCTGCATGCTCTACAGGCTGCACACCTGCATGCTCTATGGGCTGCATATCTGCATGCTCTTCAGCCTGCACATCTGCATGCTCTATGGGCTGCACATCTGCATGCTCTATGGGCTGCACATCTACATGCTCTATGGACTGCACATCTGCATGCTCTTCAGCCTGCACATCTGCATGCTCTTCAGCCTGCACATCTGCATAACATGGCCTCAGACTGTACAGTGACAATGGGCGGCTCTACACCTGGACTTAAACAGCTGCTCCTATCCTTCAAGCAAGCTTGCTCCTTGGAAAGTCCCCACAGTGGGGTGTGTGGTGCAGAGGCCTCTGCATTTCTGAGGAAGAGACCTGAGGATGCTGAACAGCAGGATAGAGGTGGTCAGAAGCCGAGGGGAGCTGAGCTATTTATCACTTCCTCAGGAAACACCTGCTTTTTAGACTGTTCTCAAACACCTGTCAAGTTCTCAGAAGCCACTGATAGGAAATAGTAATTCTGCATCTGTACTTGATGTGAATGTCACCAGGAAGAGCCCAGACCCTTCGCGAAGCTATGTGCTTACTGGCTTGGGAACTTGGTGCCACTGAGAGATGAGCCCCCGTGGTTCATGTTCTCTGCTTTGTCAGTCACGGAAAACCTAATCAAAACTAGCTGTTAACCCTGGGACCAAGGAAGAGTGCAGCAGAGGTGGGACCAGCTTGTGGGGTGTGGGCTGAGGAAACGGTTCTTATGCTGAAGGAAAACAGCTATTCTTCATGAGAAAAACTGGCTATTTCCTGATGATCAGAGCTATCAAGCAAAATGGACTAGCTACAACTCTTCTCCCCCAGCTTCCAAACACACTGTTGCCTCTAACTAGTCAGCGCTATCTGTACACCACAGGGGTCACTCCTCTTTTTGGACGACGTGTGATGATTCATCTTCATTAACGACCTGACTGGATTTGGAATCATGTAGGAGACACACCTCTGGGCCCGTCTGTGAAGACATCTCCAGAGATGTTTAACTGATGTGGGAGGACCCACCTTGAATGTGAGGGGCACCATCCCATGGGCTGGGGTCCAGGAATGAATTCAAAGACTGAGCAGAGCACCACCATCCCATTCATCTCTCTGGGCACACAGACTGCAGCTGAGATGTGACCAGCTGCCTCACACACCCTACCTTCCCCTCCAGGATGGAGTGTGTCCCCCTTCTGAAACTCTGAGTCAAAATATCCTATCCTTCTGCAAGTCTCTTTTTCCGGGGATTTTAACACAGCAGTGTATGGTGTGGTGGTGTGAATGAGAATGGTCTCAGTCTCATGTATTTGAATGCCTGGCCCCGGGTTGGTGGAACTGTTTGGGAAGGATTAGGAGGTGTGGCCTTGTTGGAGGAGGGGTGTCAGTGGGAGTGGGCTCTGAGGTTTCAAAGGCTCTCTTTGCCTTGCTCTGTGGATCTAGATGTGAACTCTCAGCTGCTGTTCCACAGCCTACTGTGGTGCTCTCACATCACCATCTAACCCTGTGGAACCACGAGCCTATGTAAACCCTTTCTTTTATAAGTTGCCTCGGTCATGGTGTTTTATCAACTGGTCCACTTTCTCTGACTCACAAACCCGCTTCAGATAAGGGCTTGGATTTAAGCTCCAGTTTAGGTATCTTCCTCCACTCAGAAGCAACACTACCAGCTTGGCCTGGACTACACAGTTAAGAGCCCGCTCTGGATTCTGCTGTCACTTGGGTTAACAAGGGTGAGCTCCTCCTAGCTCTATTTTGTGAAAGGCAAAGGGGGATGGAAGAGGCAACTGCACAGCCACCTTCGCCATGCTTCTCACATCCCTTCAAAGCCTCAGGATCTGGGCTTGGAACAAGCCGAACGCTTTATTCACCCAGCTTTCTTGATGTATTTGCCAATAACAAAAAAGATGCCGATGTGAATTGAAGGTTCGAGCACTTGTCACCAACCTGGTCTTGACACCCTCGGTCCTGCCTGTACTGCCAGTCATTTCCTGACAACCAGGGCTACTCTTTGTAGAGCTGCTGGGGCGCACAACACATGCTGCCCACCAGCCTTGCGGGAAGAGGGCACGCATCACCCGTGAACTCGGAACAGCACAGAACAGCAGGTGCAATCCAGCTGTGCCAGCTGCGGCACAGCTGCTTACACATGACATGTCTCCACACTCAGGTGAGGGTTCCCCACCTTGCTTTGTGAGGGAGGGTGTTGGAGCACACCACCACCCGTGGGAGCCAGCCTTGTTCAGGCAGGTGCAACCCAAGATCTCGGCTACAAGCAGCCAGTTCCAAGCTGCTCAGAAGACCTCCTCCATGTGCCACGGTGGCCCCATACCTCTGTCATAGCTCTCTATGGCTGTGATGAGGCACCGTGACGGAGGCCATTTATGAAAGGAAGTGATTAACTTGGCTTACGACCTCAGAGGGAGCGTCCACGTGGAGCAAAGCAACAGCTGAGAGCCCCTGTCTTGATCGATGGCCATGAGGCGGAGAGCACACTGGGAAGCACCAGAGTCTGAAGTCGACACCCCTCCTCCCACAAGCCCGCTCTTCTAACCCCCCAACAGTTCCATCAACTGGGAACAAGCATCCTCACCCAAACCACCACCCCCGGACACAAGGCTCCACTGTTTGCCTTTCCTCCCCAGCCTCACTCTGCCCTGTCCTAGCACAGCCCACGCTATGGCCTGGTGTTTCCAAACAACGGGGGAGACTGTGATGCCCTCGGTTGCTAGAACCGAATTTCAAAGTAAATTTAGAACAGAGACTCCCAGCACCTGCCAACAGAAGGATGAGCTTGTCTCAGGGATCTCTGCTTTTATTTCAGGAACATGTGCACCTGAGCTAGGCCACGGCACAATGGCAGTGTTCACTTGGTGAACCGTGGGCAACAGGTTCTAGCAGGTGCTGGCCAGGTAGCTTCTCGGTGACCCAGAGCACCAAAAAGTACTTCCAGGTCAGCACGTTCACAAAAACTGCACGAGCTTTTATAGCTTTAGGCTTTGTGCTAGGCTACTGATTTAATTTCTCATAATTGGGTAAGGAAAACCCAGGGTATCGATTTTGTATAAACCACAGCAAGGCAGAGCAAAACACACACAAGAACACGGGCGCAAAGCAGTACTGCCTTACCTCTGCGTCCTGGGTACACGTGCGGGTAGTACTCATAATACAGGTCTGGCTGGTCCAGATTTCCGAAGGGTTCAAACTCCATCTCAGCATTCTGGAAAAGACCCAGCTTCACCAGCAGTGCCAGCCTCACAAACCAGAGCTGAAATGCAGGATTGGACAAAAGGTCACCCTGTCAGCTTCATCTTCGAGACTTGCGTGGAGCCTGCCTCCGCCACAAGAAAGCCCGTACTCAGGGCTAAGGTTACTCCGTCCTCACACTCACATAGCCCAGTGTTTACAGAAACCCTGCTGAGCTCCACAGCAACAATGTGAACAGTTTCATTTCACTGAATCTAATTCAATAATACAAGGTGTGTGCCTGAGCGGCGTGTCAGCTTCGGAGAGAAAACTGTGTGGTGTGGGCTGTGGGAACTCAGCAGCAGAGACAACAAGCCTCTTACTCAGGGAGCCACATGGTGGGGGCAGTGGAGACACAGCAGCAGGGAAGCACAGGGTGGGGAGGGCGTCACAGGTCACAGGTCCTGTGAAGACGGCCCTTCCACTCTGAGGAGGCCTTGCAGGCACAGGGAAGGGTGTGATCACAGGCTGGGAGGGCAGGCTGTGCGGCATGTGAGCATGGTAATGAGGAAGGTACTGTGGAAACAGAAGGGCTCAGATTAGAGGGACAGTGTTTGAACTAAAGAGTGACAGGATAGGGAGGCTCACTGTGCTCACTGGTGGGTGAGACAGACAGACAGACAGAGCATATGGCCTTGGGTGGAACACCCATCAGACTAAGAACAGAAACTCCTGTCACGGGGGAGACGACATGGGAGACATTATGCTCAGTGAGGCACTCGAGGCAGAGAGAGGCGAACACTGCAGGGTCTCACTGTGCAAGAAGGCAAGGTTTTAAATCCTCGAGCAGAGCTGAACAGGTCTTCTCGGGTACGGGTAAGTTTGGGGAGGTACTGGCTGAAGGATGTGGCACTGGTAGGCAGGAGGGTTCAGGACACACAGTGTCCAGCGAGGTGACTAACAGCCTCGTACCACACACTAAGTAGGAGATACTGTCCACGGTGGAATGGCCTGCTCACTCCGCGACGGAAACGTACATCCCAAATTAAATGAGACCTTCGGAAGCCACCGCCAGGGCCAGTGGGCAACAGACAGGCCTCACACTGAACCCTCTCCACTTGCTTCCTATGTATGCCGAGCCACGGAAGGCACACACAGGACGGGGAGACCGCACTGAGCGTGGGCTGAGGAAGCGGCCGTGGTCAGGAGAGTGAGAGGACTTTATCTGAGAAGGTCACATCAGCCACGGCTTGTCAAACAAGAGGACAAGCACGGAAGGAGGCTAGGACGTCACGCCCACAGTGTGCGGCTCCAGACACGGAGGCCGAGGGCATGGGGGCTGAGGGCTGAGGGCATGGGGGCTGAGGGCATGGGGGCTGAGGGCATGGGGGCTGAGGGCATGGG